ATAGTGTCTGCTTTTTGAGACTACAAAAGTTAGTAGTGTCTGCTTTTTCAGACTACAATGGTTTGTAGTGTCCGACTTTTTCATTACAAAAGTTAATAGTGTCTGCTTTTTGAGACTACAAAAGTTAGTAGTGTCTGCTTTTTCAGACTACAATGGTTTGTAGTGTCCGCTTTTTTCATTACAAAAGTTAATAGTGTCCGCTTTTTACAAAAGTTAGTAGTGTCTGCATTTTCGGACTACAATGGTTTGTAGTGTCCGCTTTTTCATTACAAAAGTTAATAGTGTCTGCTTTTTGAGACTACAAAAGTTAGTAGTGTCTGCTTTTTCAGACTACAATGGTTTGTAGTGTCCGCTTTTTCATTACAAAAGTTAATAGTGTCCACTTTTTACAAAAGTTAGTAGTGTCTGCATTTTCGGACTACAATGGTTTGTAGTGTCCACTTTTTCATTACAAAAGTTAATAGTGTCTGCTTTTTGAGACTACAAAAGTTAGTAGTGTCTGCTTTTTCAGACTACAATGGTTTGTAGTGTCCGCTTTTTTCATTACAAAAGTTAATAGTGTCCGCTTTTTCAGACTACAAAAGTTAGTAGTGTCTGCTTTTTCAGACTACAATGGTTTGTAGTGTCCGCTTTTTTCATTACAAAAGTTAATAATGTTCGCTTTTTGAGACTACAAAAGTTAGTAGTGTCTGCTTTTTCAGACTACAATGGTTTGTAGTGTCCGCTTTTTTCATTTCAAAAGTTAATAGTGTCCACTTTTCTGACATATAGTATGTAGTGTGGTTAACTATGTATATATAGGTCATTGGGGATATGATTGAAGGATTGGGATGAGTTGACATTCTGCCACTTATGAATAGTTGCTTTTGATGTCAGGTCCATGGCTGTTTTTCATACTTGCAATCTGTCATGTCTTTTCACATGAGAAGTCACTATCCTATCTAATCAAAGGGTGTGCTTCATATGAATCCTGGATAGACATTGAAAATCAGACAGGACCAACCACCTATTTAATTCACTTTTGGTACCTTTAAATCAATCTACTCAAGGCTGACCCCAGTGGTGAAGGCTTGGACAATGACAACTGGTCTTGGTATTGAAAGACATGACAAGTTGCATTGGTAGGACAGAGAATTTATCCCTCCAAAAAAATCATGTGAAGATTGACTGTGGTCAGACATAGGACAGCAGATACTGATCTGAGTGGAAGGTTGACCAACATCAAAGATAGGATAGGGGCTTCCCATGTGAAAAGTCAAGACAGATTGCAAGTATGGAAAACAGCCATGGATTTGACATCAAAAGCAACTATTCATAAGTGGCAGAATGTCAACTCATCCCAATCCTCCAATCATATCCCCAATGACCTATATATACATACACTAACCCTGAGAAAAGAATGTCCGATCACTTTTTAAATGAGAAATGGGTTTTATCTTCAAACTCTTTAATCCTTTGAACAATATTTCATAGGCAGAGTGGACTTTTATGTTTACTCTGCACATCCTGCAAAAAAGATTGAACTAAGCAGCTGTCGTTGTGACACACATGGTGGGTGTAGGCCAGTCGATGCCGTGACCGTGGGATATAAACGCGTCGCATCAAGCAACTTGCTGTCGATCTTGACTTCAACCAAAAACCGCACTCCCAAACCACATTGTGTATGGTCATATACCTCCTATGGCTCCAATTACAACCCCCACCAAACGTGCAAAGATTTGTACAATGTGGGCGGCGGGATACACCCACAACGAAATTCGCGACGCTTTGACTGGTCGCCACGATCTTTCTGACCGCCAAATCCTCTGGATCGTCAAGAGATACGCAGAAAAGGAGAATTACTACGATGTTGGACACTCAACTGGTCGTCCTCGGAAGCTCACGCCCTGTGATTTACGTGTAGCCTGCCGACACCTGTCAAATCAGACTGCCCACGATGCTTCCGAGCTGCAGCGCGAGTACTTCCCGGATGTTTGTGTGGATACAATGAAGCATGCACTTAGAGGAGAAGGTCTTGAACCTCATATTCGACGCACAGTTCCATTCATCTCTCACAAGAACCTACACGTCCGAAAGAACTGGGCCGAGGAACGACTGGAATGGACCATGGCTAATTGGATGACTGTAAACTTCTCAGACGAGTCCATATTCCACTTGTTTGGGTCAGATGGTATAGAGTGGTGCTGGAGGAGACCAGGAGAGCGCTTGGATCCACGGTTCACGAAGAAGAAGGTCAAGCACGGTGGTGGGAAGGTTACGGTGTGGGGAATGATCACGGCACAAGGTGTTGGGCAGATCGTACGGATTGAAGGGAACCTCAACAAAGAGTTATATCGTGAAATCCTTGAGGACGATGTCCTAGGTACCTACCGTGAGCTTTCTATGGAGCCACGTCAATTCTACTTCCAGCAAGACAACGATCCAAAGCATACAGCGAAGATCGTACAGGCTTGGTTTCAAAAAAACAACATAGATCTCCTTCCATGGCCACCAAACAGTCCCAACATCAGTATCATCGAGAACCTTTGGGACCACCTCGAACGTCGAATACGAGCACGTAAGCCACTGCCGCGGTCGGAAGAAGATTTGTGGGTGGCTCTTCAGGAGGAGTGGTTCCGGATTGATGTCAGCTTTATCACAAAGTTATACCAATCTTTACCCCAACGAGTTCTTGCAGTTTACCAGGCTAATGGAGGGAACACGAGGTACTAGATAGTTAGATACACAAGTTCAAATTTCTCTCGTTCTCCAGGTTTAATCTGGCATTTCGGTTTTTTCTGGTTTCCTATTTTGGGCCTTGCCACATTGATTGCTATCGCATAATTCGTATTTGCATTTCTGTATCGCAAAACTTTGGAGACATGTTATATACCACTTAACCTTTCTTATACTCTTGAGATCCAATTAATGTGTTGTGTGGTTTTCACGTTATAGGCCAGACTTCATCAAAAAAACGATCGGACATTCTTTTCTCAGGGTTAGTGTAGTTAACCACACTACATACTATATGTCAGAAAAGTGGACACTATTAACTTTTGAAATGAAAAAAGCGGAC